GAAGGGTCTCGGGGGGTTAAAAGAGCTGTTGCATATGATCTCGAACGGCTCGTCCATGAAACAACCACTCCCCATGCCAAATGGGTAGGGAATGCTCACGTTCCCACATCTATCTTCGCAACCAGGCTTTACCAGTGCTGCTGCTACTGCATCTCCTGACCCTAATAAGAGGAGAGACGATAGCAACGATGCAAAGAAGACGACAGCCTGGTGTTGTTTCGGCTGAACAAAGACAAAAAACATACCGAGAACGAGAAGAGTCGCGATGGTGGGTGAGGGTGTCCAGTGTCCTAGCAAAGTGCAAAGCCAAGATAACACAGACCGTCTTCTGCGTTCTGTATAAATCAGTTGGATTTGACCAAACATGTGTGACGGCCGGGTTGTATTTTCCTACTAAACCAATCAAATTCCACATGTTATTAGCTAGAAGAGGGTTTGGCTGGGGTAAGGAAATTAATAAACTAATAATAAGGACGAAGACTTGATCTTGACCCGGTTTAATTAAGAGGATTCCTTTTTATCCATAACATATGACGAATTTGCTTTATATAATATAATAGCCACTTGAGTGGGTGCCTAATGCTTTTTTTTTTTAATTAATAGGAAAAAAAAAGGCACTAACTGGCTCACTTGGTAAGGGTGGGGTATGGGTTTTGTATAGGGCTATGTATATATGTCGAGACAATTTCTTAGGAAAGTGGGACACTTTTATATATAATAGCTAGTTGAGTGGTGCCTACTATTTTTTTTTAAAAGAAATAAAAAAAAATGTCCCAACAGCCTCAATTGGTAAGATGTAGCTGATTGTAGCGGAGATTTTGGAAAGAGTTATTGTGATCCAAAAAAGATCAACAGGCTCCCCCAACCCACCAAAATAAAAAAAAAGAAAAGCATTTGAGCGGCACTTGAAAGGAAGAAAGAGAGATTTTTTTTTATGATGCTAGAAAGTGAGGTACAACAAACCAAATGAAAACTTTAGTAATTGTTAGAGAACAAAATCCAATTCAGGCCACTGACCTAATAGCTTAAGATTTTAGGTTAATGGTTCCTTAATGTGATATCAGAACAATGCAATTCAAGATGATGCCCAAAAACAAAACATCATTCTAATGCTATACTGAGCTGGTGAGTTGGACAGACTGTTGACTTTTGGCAAACTTGCAGCACAAGGACGAGGCCTCAAGGTGGATCCTTAGGCTGCATATAGAATCAGTATAAAAATATATTGATGACATTTTATATTGAATAAAAAAGTGACTGTTGCTTTTTTTAATAGTGATGGGTGGAAGAATGTAAAATTTTACATTGATAAAATCAATGTAGTTTTCATATCAATTTTATTCATGTAAAATTTTAAAGTTGATAAAGTTTTACGTCAAAAATAATTATATCCTCTTTTCAAACACATACAAAACTAAACCGATATAAAATTTATATTGGTTCATCACATCCAAATGCAGCCTTAGGGGGTGAGGGGGTCCAAGGCATAGAAGCAACCTTAGGAAGTGGTCCTCTTTCTCAAACATTCTTGCTACATCACCCTTTCTTTACTCTCCCCCATTAATTTCTTCCTCTTTTATATCTTTTCTTTACTTTTTTATTTTCTCTTTTGCCAAAAAAGGGAGGGAAGCTTTGAACGTTAGGAAAGAGGGCAGCCATGGACAAACTCTAAACAATTTGATCGAATGCTTTCTTTCATCCTCCAGTTTCAGTCCGCCATTGAAGTACTTTAACAAGTTGCATTTCACGTCTTAGTACTGAGTCCAGGAGCTTTACAAAGTAATTCAAGATGAACTGAAGGGTATCAGACGCCCAAAAGCTTCAGTATTCATTGTAGTGGTTCTCTCGTCCTCTCATAAGGAGCTCGCGGTCGTTGAATCCTCCCACACTGTAGCTTGAATACAGGTAGGTTTCTTGGCTGTTACCATTGTTTTGGGATCCCTCCTTTCTTTTTCGTTTATTCTTAGCGGTTTCTTTTAGGTTTTCAACTCAGGAGTGAAGGGGGTTAAACTCCGGCTTTGTGTTTATTCTTCTGTGTTTACTCTTGTCGAGTAGATTGCTGACTCCAAGAGAGGTGTGAAGGGGGAATTTAGTACCACCCCACTCATTGGAGTTCAGTTCGAACGGATGAGCTCCAGCCACTTACGCTTAATCACTGGAAGAAAAATGACTTTTAGCAACAGTTGACTGCATTAAAAATCTCAGAAACTGCGGCAAGAGACTTTACCGGCAGCCAGCAAACCACCGATAAAAGAACTTTCACTAGACGTTCTAACAGCAGTTTTCTCGGCTGCCGGTATAAATTTTAAACTGCCGCTAAAAATATACTTTTCTTTTTCAAATAACCTATTTTTTTTTCTAATTTTCTTCAAATTACCTATTTTCTCTATATTTATTTAAATCGAAATGAAATACAAAAAAAAAATAAAAAAAAAAACATCAATTACAAATAAAATCTAAAAATCCATTTTCCATTCAAACCATTCAAATCACAAATACATCTTAATTTCAATTAGGTAAATTCTTGGTTTGTACAAGAAATGTTCTCTTCACAATGCAATCAGTTCTAGAGTCAGATTTGTCACTGCCTGATGTTGATGCATTTTCAATATCTTAGCTTTGTCATTACTGTAATTTCTCTCAGCTGAACAGAGTCATTACTGAATAGATTTGTCACTGCCTGATGTTCTAGAGTCAGAGTCAGATTTGTCATTACTGAACAGATGAAGTACCCTTATACTTCACGATAAATTCATTTTCCATATCTTATCTTGCTTCTGTTGATGCAATCTCAAGCTCTGCCCACCAAAGAGGAGATAGTTTAGGTGTTTCTCCATCAGGCCCCATTGCTGTAATTTCTATCAATCGAGCAGTAACCTCTCTCATTGTTGGTCTGTGCTTTGGGTCAGGATGAACATAAGATCTTATAACCTTTAACAGTTTCTTGAGTTCCTCTTCTTGGAAAGCTTTCAGAGTTGGATCTACTATTTCTTTAAGGGACTTCTCCCCTCTAAATGCCCAGTCAATAAGTGGGCCATTGTCCACTGAGTATGGGAGTCTACCTATTACCATCTCCAATAATATAACACTGAAGCTGTATATGTTACTCTCTGGACCAGATGGCATATCCAGGAGTTCCATGGTCGTGGATCCCATCTTGGAAGCAGTTGCCTCATTCCAATTGAAATCTGAGATTTTGGCCGCATTGTCTTCAGTAAGATATATAATGGTTGAGTGCAGGTTCTTATGGATCACAGGTGGGGTCAGAAGGCAGTATGCCATTCCCATTGCAATCCTCAGACGTATCCCCCAGTCCAAGCGCTCTGCCTCTTTAATTGCATGATCCCACCACAAATCTCGAATCAACTAAAATACAAAAGCATATAGGCTTCACTTACTGCATAACCAAATGATCAATACTTGAAGTACCGGCCAAGTATAAATTGATCAGCAAGATGCATTATTTGAGAGAGAGACAAGAATAAATCTAATTCATATCATTCTAGTCACACTACAACAACAAATTTATTATTTTCATATTATCTGGAAACTCAACTAGAGTGGTTACCTTGTACCAGACCTGAACAGGTTAAATATGGATATCTAGATTTTAAATCATGACATTAATGATTTCATACAAATCATAATCTTACTACAAGCTGGGCTATAAAAAATTTAAGCCTAATCACAATTGATGGAATGGATGTTATGACCATCTAAATAGGCCATGATGGTCCCAGCCATCTGGGTCTTGGGAAGGGTGGACTGACTGGATACAGTCCTAACCTTTGGCATTTTTCTTTTCAAAGTGGCCTCTCAGCCTTGAACCTACGTTCTCACACTTGACAGCCCAAGATTTTACCATTACACCAAATAATGGTCCCTGATTGCTCATCTTCCTTCCAAGGAATATGTTGAAATAATTTAGTTATTTGTGTTAGAGTCTGTTTGGCTAGTTAAAGCATTTTTTTTTATTTTCTGTTATTTCTGCTATTGTACTCACTTACAGCAGGGGCACAAGGGTCTTTTCCCTTCTTATTTCTGCCGCCCTATATAATATAATAGAAACTGGCGCCGCCAATACTATTCTATTGCTCCAAGCCTTTTCTTCTTCCTTTCTTTCTTCTCCTTTTTGCTCTTCTTCCCTTATCTTCTCTACTTCCTCATATTTCAATTGGATTTATTGCCAAGATGGTATCAGAGCAAGGCTGTTGAATCTAGGCGACCAAGTTTTTTTCTCTTCAAGTTGCTGAATCTGGGTGGAACAGAGGACTGAATCTGGGCTGATCAAATCAGATCTGCAACTGGTACAACCCTAAAGTTTTCTTTCTTCTTTTATTTCTTTCCTTGGTTGTGTACCAAGTGGAGAACAAATGAATCCAAACCACTGAATGTCGGCAGACTTCTGTGAGGGTTATATTTTTTATTTGTGGGATCGTGTGATCCTGTACCTATGAAAAGGTGACTGTAAGTCATAGATGACCTGTTTTCTCTGCTCATTAGTCTGATTTCATGTGTGTTAGGATCTCTCTTATTGATTAATGTTGTGGTGGAACTTACTGAAAAACCAGTAAGTTGGGACTATTCTTCATGTAGATCTGAAAATCAGTCTCGTCATAGTTCTTTGGAAATTGGTGTTGTTTTTTGTGTTCAGATTAAGTCCAAAACTGAATTATTGTGTGTGAAGCTTTTGTCGATATAAGGAGGAATCCTAAGTTGAGAGTTTAGATAAAAAAACCTTGTGTTTACCATGTCATCTGAGAATTCTGCTACTTCAGAGATTTCAGGGAGCCACAATGGAGTGAGTGGGGGAATGGATATGAATTTCCCCATGGCTGTTATTCCCTTTGATGG